ACCAAACATGTAGTCTTGACAGGCTTACAGCCAGCTAAGACCATCAGTAAAATGGATTGACCCACAAAAAGGAGGTATGAATGCTACTTTACTTATTTAAGCCAATCCAATGTTTGGCAGGCAAAATGTCAGTAATTGCTTTGCATGTGTTATTACTACTGTTGGCAACTATGTATGTTTTCATTTCCAACTTTCAAGAAAATAAAATGTGATGTTAAAATGCCTTCAATGGTTAATTAATTTTAAAATGCAAGTTAAAATTAAACTTCTTCTTTGAACAGGACGTCAATTTTTTTCATATTAAACATATTTTCCATCAACATTTACTTCCCACTTTTTCGGTTAGGTTGAATGTCCATTTAAATGTCAAATTGAGCAAATTAGCAATTCCACTTGTTCACTAGTTATTTTTTTTATTATTATGCATACATGCAACTGTGATTGAAGGAATAAAATTATATTGATAAAATAAATATATTTATAATAAAATATTGAATTCTGCACAATTTTTGTCATTATATCTATTCTTTAGTATGCAGTATTCATCAGGGAAATACAACATTATTTGTGTGATTAAAATTTTCATTATTATTTTTGTTTAGAGCCCTTTTAAAACCTGTGTAGCAGTCAGAAGTATGAAGTTGGTTGCTCTCTTTTGTTGTAACAGATAACACTGATTCAGTTTCTCTGTACAATGAATATTTGCCGAAATATTGGCACTGATAAGCACTCTGTATACAGCAAAGGTCCCGTATCAATGTCCCAGTCCAGGCCACATTTGATGTGAAGTAGCACGTTTTATGCTTTTGTGTTCCCCTGAACATAAGATTCTTTTTATATTTTTGAAATAAAAAGGTACAAAGTTTGATGTGGGTGAGACAGTGAAACCCCTAGATCCAAGTTGTCTGTAGTATGGGATGATGTATGTTACCCTCTTCATTCACACATTGCATGGAAAGCCATAATCTCTTCTAAATTTTTGTCGCTATAAATATTTACCAGTTTGAATCACATTTTAATCTGTCATGCAGTTTCTCGGTCATGAGATACCGTAGATGAAAAATGTCTTTCTTATACCGGTACTCCTGTTATTCTTGAAAGTTTCTGCTAGTTTAAGGGTGTCTATGTGAAAACGTAAAGCGATTATGTGACCATACAGTTAAGTTATCTCTCAAGTACTTCAAAACTTGTGTGTAAGCAAGCTAATGGAGGCTGTTATTGGAGGCTCCTCCAGATGGCAGCAGAGGAACAGTGAACAAACAAAATTAGCAAAATATTTCTGGGTTTCAAATAAATAATATACAACTTACATTTTCTTTTGTAGCAATGGAAGATACCGAGAGATTTGTGCATAATGTTTGGATTTCATATTAAAATACATTAGTTATAATTTATCAAGAGATTTCAATAGTCAAAATACATGCATGATTGGGTATTTGATTGAAAAATTGAATTATTATACCACATAAAGTGACTTGGCACATAAATTTACTATTTAACATCACCATTTCTTGACTTTTTACTAGAAACCAGGTTTAAAAAAAATGTCATTGTGTATAGAAATTATAGAGCCAGTCTACAAAGTGTTATATTGCTCATGTTTCCATCTTGAGAACAAATTAATGTTGAATCTACTGACAAAAACGGTAAAAACATAACAAAGAAAATGAAACCAAAAGGAATAGAATATTTTCACCAAAAACACTGTTTTTGCAATAACACCAGGGGAACAAAATCTGCCAAAAAGACAGCTAATCCAAATAACCATACAATATCTAAGAATAACACAGGGATGGTCGATGAACACACCAAAGATTAGAATTTCAGAAATCAAAAATAAAATAGAAGAAAATATAAGAAAACTACAAATTAGTACTCATGTCTCTATCATTGTAATACCAAAAAATGTCCCACTAGTACCCTAATACTGTAGTTGGAAAGGAAACTTTAACAATAGATTTTTAAAAATGCACACAAACTAATATTTCAAGAATAAATGTGCAGAAATATGCAATATAGCAGTCAATAGCCTTCATTTTTGGAAAAAAAGGTGTACAAAAAGTAATAATAAATACATCTTGAAATGAAATAGCAAAATACTGTATTCATTAGAATAAACGCCACGGAGGAGTTCATTGTAGAGAAGGGTTATTGAAGGGGCATCTAATCGAGGCAGCTTTTATTTTTTTAGTGTAAAATGGATATGTATGTACTCAAATAAACACTCCTTAATTTTACTGTATATGTCAAGTACAACACATAATTACGGTCAAAATGTGTCATTGAGTGATCACAAAGACTTATTGATCCCAACCTGGTCAGAAAAAACTAATTCTATTGGAGTAAACATTAATAGAATGTGAAGAGAATGATGCTGCTTCCACTAGACTGTTTTAGTGACATTTATGGGAGCTTTTATTCAAGAAAAAAAAAATAAACGACCAGGCATTCATTCGAAGGAGGCGTTCATTCGAAAGAGGCATTTATTCAAAGCAGGGCATTTATTCGAATAAATACGGCAATTAGAAATGTAAAAGGTATTTCTCACTACCTGTAAAAAAATTCACATGCATAATGTAATTCCAAGAATCCAAATACTAGTGCGGTACTGATATACTAATCACCCCAAAAAAAAACAAAAAAAAATATATCAATAAAAAATATGAAATTAAACAAGGTTACAGGAATTCCTTCACCATTTTATTTAGCATCATTATATTTAGTGTGCTTCAATCATCCTATTTTAGTTGCTCTGACAATGAATACCTAAACGAACACACCAGAAACTAACAAGAAATCCATTTAGAAATAAAACCACCTAATCACTCAATTGCAAAAAACAATTAAAAACAACGTAAAAACCTGAGGAAACAATGGTATGTATAACTTCTCCCTGTAAAGAAACGCATCCCCAAGGTCTGAGTCGAAGGTCATTAGTAAAAACTTGTGAAAGAAAGCCACACACACAATTCCTTTTTTACAGAAATAATCATTTATTAATATTCCTTCTTCTTTCATGCATATCTGAATTTATACACATAGGAAACATGGAGGTTCATACAAGCAGTAAGTATTATGAATGTTGAGATTATTATGATTTGATCCACATCAATGATGATGTTAAAAAAAAACCCTTACAGGCCTGTCTGTAAATAGCACTACACTGTGAAAATATGTTAACCAATTAACTGACTAATAACTAAAATAACCATTATTATTTGAAGAACAGGATGAAACCAGGTAAATTGTAACAATTTTATTCACTAACCAAGATTATAAATCTTCTTTGTATAAATTCCTTCTTTTAATATTAAAAATTATCGATGGGCGTCTTCCAATTTTTAGAAAAGAATTAAAATAAACCTAATTCCTTATCCTTATATTTTTACCATGTACTGTATTTATCATTTCAAGGTCAATTAAAATATTTTAAGTTCAATGACCAATAATTATTTTATCTTTATATCATATTTACACAGAATTATCATTTCATTAATTTTTTCTTTCTTTTAGTCACACATAAGTTACTAACCAACAACGAAGCAACCAGTCTGCTTTACCAAAATAATTTTAGTCTTGCCTTAATATATGCATTAATATAAACCAATGCTCCCAGAAGAAAAGATTTAGATATACGAAAGACGATTAACGCAAGCAAAATTTTGTAAAGTTGTGTAAAATTCTTTCCTTTAACATAAGATTACCGACAATTTCCAAAAAGAATTAAGATAAATCAAATTAAAGATCTTCCAATCCTTATAATTTTACAATTTATTTATTATTTTATAGTTGACTAACAATTTTTAGCGTAATTCACAAAGAAATTTGTTTCTCCTTTAGGCACATATTTTATTCGAACCAATACCGGTATTTGTGGATACATTAGGTGAGGCATTTGCTACATTAACCACAGCCTGCTACAGCAAACAATTTCAGACATTAAGCATTGTTATAAACCATTGCTATCAAAATTAGATTTAGATACAAGAAATACTTTCAAGGCAAGCAAAATTTGAAAGATTGCATCACAATATATTACTTGAACCCCTAAGCATTCTTGTTGAAATATTTAACAATATTATTAAAAAATGTTACTTTTTGCAATAGAAATCTGTGCTTTCCAAATACAATATGTGGAAACCAATAACATCAGGAGATGGATTGAATTTAGGTAAAGCTCTTAGACATGGAAGCAAAATTGTAGTAGTTTATATAATAAAATATAGACATATATTGATAAATGGTCTAAAATTATAAACATTTTTACATTAGGATAGGCTTGCTTAGCACCTTATAAATTGAAACATAAAATATATAATACAGGCAATAAACAAGGATTAAATAAGCAATGGGTTAGTCTATTACATTAAATGAAATATACATCCAGCCAACTAAAAAAGCATTTCAAACATAATATATTCCATATCTAACTCTCAAATAAACCTCTGCATCTGAATTTAAACACAAAGATGTCCTTAAAAAAATACAGAGTAATATATTACTGTAGTTGCTCTGGTATAAGCACACCCCTTTTTAATACAAAATGAGAAAATTCTGAGGGTTAGTGTTTACTCTATGGACCAGAAAATGCAAAAAATAGTGCACCTGCAGGCCTAGCTAATCCAACTTAGGACCTACAAGGTGGGCCTCAACAAGTGTAGAAATTCCAATCCAAACAACTGAAATTAGGAAATTGGCTTATACCAGCCAATGGAGCATTTTCAACAAGTCAGAGGTATGCTTATACTCTTGAGAACTACAGTAAATCAAAGCACTGGTTGTTAACATGACAGCACATGCAAGAAATAATTATTAAAAACCAAAAGAAAATGTTAGCAATAATGATTAGTACAAAATGCAACATAAAGCTATGTTAAAGTTAGGCTTACTGGAAAAGAAAATATTCTTTATTGTCAGGAGTGAAAACCTAGGTGTATCAGGTAGCAGTTGATGACATGTGACATTCTCACAGAGAATAATAAAGGTATCCAGTGAGCTACACCGGAAAAGCAAAAAGACAAATTCATGTTTGAGGGCAGCATCCATTTTACCATGACCCTTGACCCAGACCTTTGGTATTTGTTCCTGCTGAAAATTACCTCAAGAGCAGGGAAGATCTGTCATTGTATCTAAGAACTATTAATTTTTAACATTTCTAATAATTTCATACTTTGGTCCAATAACTGCAATCTAAATTGCCCTGGTGTGGTTTAGAACCATATTAGACAGCACAAACATAAAACAAATATATACAATTGAGTTGAATTTCTGTCATATAGAGCTTGTTTGAATATCATATTTGTGGTCAAATGAATTTTTACTTCAAAAACAATTTTGTACAAAAAATTAAATCTCACGACTAAAATCAACTCCACTCCCTAAGCCTCATAAAGAGGCTTAGTTTATAAAGCATCATTCTCATCCTGTAAGTGACAAGGGTACTTGCTGCTTGATGTGAAGAAAACAAAAAAGAAATAAATAGGAAATAAAAAAAACTAATATATTCATAATAATAATGAAAAACAATAATAGTAAGAACAAATAATAGTTATTCTTTGCATAGGTCATTCATGTGTCAATGGCCACAGGTAATGTGCATACAGAAAAAATAACAGCTGAAAGGTGTCATGTCTGACATACAACTATGCCATCAGATTGGAAATTTGTTTCACTTTTGAATCCAAATCACATGCACACTACACAAACTTCATCCCTCTGCCCCACAATGCATTCTAACCCTACCTTACACCAATGAGAAAGCTATACACTACCAAGAACTGCTCACCCCTACATACTGCAGATTACTTATAGGGAAGCAAAAGCAATCATCAAGACTCTCCAGAAACATAAATGGAACATTGAACATCCCGGACATAACCCAAAAGATAACTACTACTACCTATCTAAACGCTCTGACCAAGTAACGATATTCAGACTGAGGACAGGCCATAATCGTCTCCACCATCACCTGTATACCAAATTTGGTATTGGAGAGACAGATATCTGCCCCTGTGGTTCCGGACCTATGACAACAGACCACATTTTACAGCACTGTTCAGACCTAGAAATGGAAAGAAACCGAACTTGGCAAGTACCAACAACACTATACCAAAAACTCTATGGAACACCGGAAGATCTACGAAGGACAGCAGCCTTCATCAAAGATACTGGTATCATCATCTAAATGAGGTGAACAAGGAAGAAGAATACTGCAGATTTCTCAAGTTGTATTTAATGAGAGGGAAAATGCATATCCATCATATCTTACGCTTTTTAATTTTCTGATTTTAGTACCTTCTTTTTCAAGCCGATTTAGGAATTCAGTGTGTACTTTTAAGAGAAAGTATTTCAAGTACATATCACTCATCAACAACATGTCAAACATAGACACAACATAACGTATGTTAACTAGTGCATAGAGGCTTTTAGCATTATGCGCTCTATAAATCCATACTTTATTATTATTAACCACACTAAAGCTAGGATCAAAGAAAAACTAGCCAAAGAAATATTTCAGAATGTAACTGACATATAATCACCAATAGAAGGATCACTATCAATTATTAATGAAAATAAATCACAGCAAAAAAATACAAACATTCAAAAATCATCGGTCAATGTCAGGCCTTGGATGTTAACATCAATCAACTATTATAATATTAGTGTTTGGGATGGTTACACAATCAATAGGAAAGGGGGCAGAAAAACATCATCACCACCATCAATATAATCGCCACCACATATTATCAACATTACCACTACCCAAGGACATTTTGTTGCACGACCAATAACTGAAATGTATCAATGGAATCTTTATAGGCTTCAACCTAACCAAGTCTTTTAATATGATCTCATCCTCTTCCTATGCCCCCCATCAATATCATTCTACCAAATCGAAAGAATTTACGACTATCCTATGTATAGGAAAACAATTCTTAAATCTGCTTACTTTAATGTAATGGATGTTTAGTTATGACATCTGTAATGTCTCAATGCAAATTATTTTTCAGGTTATTTATACTTTTTTCTAGGAAAAAAGATATCTTGAGATATTTTCAATGATTTTCTTCATAATATTTTTTTTAATTGAATATCTGAGTGTAGAATGAGACATTTTTTCACCAATTTATAATTACAGTACATTGGTAAATAGTTTCATCTGGTTTCTGATAGTTGATTCAATTCAAGAAATTATTTATTGAATTTATAATTATTTATTGAATTTATAATTTTAAATAATATGTTGTACATGTGCTTTTTATGCTTTCAGTAGGCCTCTGAGAGTTTCAGCCCTTGGATGCTTGTATGTCATTCATTGTCATTTATTAAATAAAGTATAGCTGAATATTATTGAATATATAATTAGTTTAATTAAATCATCTTGATTTTATTATTTCTTGTATTTTGTTTATTAGTTCATGATTTCCTGAATTAATTGAAAATTAATACTATTAAAAAAAAAAGAAATACAGCTCTAGCCATAAGATGTGTTATAATATGTGCAAATAAAAATGTATATCTGTTGATTTAATGTATACAAATACATAAACACATAGCCAATCCATATTACATTCATCAAAGATAAAGACATCTTCGTTAACAATTAGGCTAGTGCAAAATCACATCAGCAAAATTGCTTTAATATTTGCCTAATTATTAGGGATAATGGGTTAGTTAAAAAAAAAAAGTTAATAAACTTAAAAAAGAGAAAAAAGTAGCACCACAAAGAGACACTATGGTTTCCAGTTAAACGGAGGGAATTTCCTAAATCATGTTTTGCTCCAATACAGTAAGTTGTTAAAATGCACCTGAGAATTGAATGGTAAGCTTTCCTAGTAATAATTAAATTGGTCATTTAATTTAATTTCTTAAGTCAATATAAATATTTAGAAGGAATACCAATGAACCTGAGATTGATGTTTGATCTTCAATAAAGATATATCAGCCAGGTGCTGGTCTGAGATCTTCCTCTCTCTGGCATTGTATTCTTCATCCATATCCATCTTAAGTCTGTTGATGGCTTCAGCATGATGCCTCTCCACATCAGAACGCATCTTCTCTAACCGCTGCAGATTCTGCTGATGCAAGTCAGTCTTGAGAGATGAAACCTCATTCTGATGACGTTCCTGCATTTTATTCTGTTGATTTCTGAACTCAAGCTGTCTCTCCTTTAAATCAACTTCCCAACGCCGAAGTTGGAGATCCTTGTTTTTCAGTTCTTTTTCCAATTGCAATTTCTCAGAAAGTAGGTCATCTTCTCTTTCATGTAGTTTTCCTTCAATTTCTCGGAGCTCGCATTCCAGTGAACGTTTCTGCTTTGAAAGCTCCTGTTCAAGTAAGTCCTTCTCACTTAAGAGGTCCTCTAATTGTTGTTGTTCATGAATCTGTCTTTGAAGTTGTAATCGCTCTCTGAGCAACTGATCTTCTATAGCCTCCTTCTCTGAAAGCTTTTCTAGAAGCATATCCTTTTCCCTTTTAAGGGCTTCCTCTCGGACAAGTTGATCATCAAGAACTTGAGAGACATTTCCTCGCTGAAGTTTTTGATCTTCAAGCTGGTCTATCAATGATGCCTGCTGTTGCTGAAGATCAAGAATCTGTTGGCCAAAAACCTCTTGAACATCTGTTGTCACAACATCAGATATATTCTTTTCTTGCTTCAGACTTCGAAGTTCCTTTGAAAGTTCTTCATTTGCTTCTTCCAATTGTCCTCTGCTTTCTTGTAAAATACTTATCTGCTTATTCTTCTCAGTTAGTATTTCATACTCATTTTGCTCCTTCTTTGCCAATTTGTCTTTAAGATTGGAAACTTCCTGATGCAATGTGTCATGGTTTTTATTTATTTCTTTCTCCATTTCTAGTGCTTCCTTCAATAAAGCATTCTCCTTTTGATAAATGTCTTCAGTTTCTTTCAAGTCCTTCTTTAGATTTTCAACTTGATTTAGCAAACTGTCATTGTTCTTTTCTAAGAGCAACAATCTATCATCATGTGTGCTTGTTTTGGTCTCTTCTTCTTTCATCAATTCCAGAAGTTGATCTCTTTCCATCTTCAGATCCTTCTCTGCAACATTCTGCAACTTTAACTGCTCATTCAATTCAGAATTTTCTTCCTCAAGTATTTTAACATTTCTTAATTTCTCATCAAGTTGCTTTTTCAGAAAACTGACTTCATTTTCAACAATTTCCCACTCTTTGACAGCATGTTTTCTTTCCTTTTCAGCAATGTCCAACTGTTCTCTGACAGCCTCTGCCTCCGCTTCCTTGATCCCAAAATTGGTCTTTAACATTTGATAATCCTGTTTTAGTTGTACCAGTTCAGAAGCAACAGACACTTGTTCATCCCCTTGCTGCTGGAGGGTGTTTCTCAAGATTGCATTCTGTTTTTCTGCAGCAGACATTTCAGGAGATTTTCTACCATTATCATCTATACCTCCAGACTGGTACATTTCTAATTTGGATTCATACTGCTGCTTCTCAACTTCAAGCTTGTCTTCCAATTCTTTGCATGTAAATGCCAAGTTTTCAAATTGCTCTGACATACTTTTGTTCATTTCTTCCTTTTGAATTTCAAGTATATGTAACTTTTCTTCCAATTCTGATTCAACTTGGTTCCTTTCATTCCTCATTTCTTCAAACTGAGATTGTAAACTTACACAATTATTGTTCTTTTCCTCAAGTTGTTCCATAAAATTAGATTGAATTTCAGATTTTTGCTGTTCTAACTGTTCCATGTCAGATTTCAAATTCTTCAATTGTTCCTGAAGATAAGAAATATCATTTTCATAATCTTTCTTTTTATTAGAATATTCTTCCATCTCCTTAAGTTTTTCTTTTGAAAGTGTATCAATTTTTTCTTTGTAGTCATCCAGTTCATCATGAAATTTAGACATTCTTAAGGCTTGTGCCTCTCTCACATCAGTTAACTGTTCAATTTCAACATCCTTTGCTTTTATCTGTTGTAATAAATCATTCTGCTCTTCTTTAAGATTAGATACTTTGTCTGAAAGTGCCTGTGATGAATTTTCTAAAGACATCATTTTTGCTTCAAATTCTTTCTCCCTTGTTTCCAGATCATGCTGCAATTTTTCTTTGTCTTTTAATAATTGTTCTCTTTCATTCGCAATGTCTTCATCAGAGAAAGTCATAACAGAAGCATCAACAACATTTTGCTGATCTGGATTAACAGAGCTTTCCACTAGTTCTTCATTTGTAGGAATTACTATTTTACTATCATTAAAGTTAGCTTTAAGGGTCTCAATTTCCTTTAAAAGTTCATCTCTACTTTCTTTCATTTCATTATTTTCTTTTGCATTTTCTTCTGTAGTTTGAATTAGACAATCAACCTTGTCAAGAAGATCCTTTTTTGAGCTTTCATGTTCATTCTTTGCGATTATTAACTCATTATTCAATGTATGCAACTGGTCTTCGAGTTTAAAACTTTCAGTTTTTAGGTGGTCATTTTCCTCCTTCAGTGGCTGTATTTCACTGCTTAAAGAACCAACTTCTTCTTTTAAATGTTCATTTGTTTTTTGAAGAGTTTCACATTCCTCTTTCACTTTTTGAAGCTCAAATTGGATGTCGTTAATCTGTTCCTCTAGTGCTGTTTTCTTCTCAACTAGTTGGTCATTTTTTTCTCTTAACATTTGCAATTCATCATTTAACAATTTTAATTTATTATTTGTCTCATCATAAATCATTTCAGTATTTTCTTCTTTACAATGTTCAGAATTTTGTTCACTATTAAAGAAGCCACTAAGAGATATAATATTTTCCTGATCCAATCCTATAATTTCTGGAGTTTCAATTTCATTGTCATCGTCATCTTTCATTTCTTTTTCATCCATCACAGACACCAATTCTGACTGTAAATTTTCTATCTGGCGATGAGCATCCTCCAGTTGCAGCATCAAAGCATCTCTAGCTTCTAATAAATCTTCCATTTCTCGTTGTTGCTTTGCAGCCCAATCTGGGGACTGTTCAGCTTTCTGCCAATCTTTCCCTTGATTTTCAATCCAATCTTTGTTTTGATTTTTCAATGATGATGCCTGATTTTCATCTAATATTTTGCTATCATTAAGCCTTTTCAGAAGTTTCTGAGTTTCCTCCTCAAGTACAATCTTGTGCTTCTCATTCAGTTCATCTGTGATTTTCTTTTTAACAGCTTCTATTTCCTCTGCATGTGTCTCTGCCAACTGCTGTCGTACATTCTGCAGTTCCTGGACAAACTCCTTCTCCTTGTCAGACTTTGAAGTTAAAATTTGCATTTTGAAGTGTTCTTCAAGTTCTTCCACTTTTGTTTTCATTTTACGATCATATTCTGCAGCAACCTCACTACGTTGTTGCTTTAATGCAATCAGATGAATATCATTTTGGTGAGCACACTCATCCTCAAATCTTCTATCAAATTCCTTTTCCAATCTCTCTTTTTCTTCATTAATTTTCTGTGCTTGTTTTTCTAGTTCAGTTTTTAATTGTTGTATTGTTGTGTTAGCTTCTTCAAGTTTTTGCCCGAGTTGTGATGTCCTATTGCAAACTTCCTTTTCACTCTTGTCCAAGAGTTCTTTATTCTGGCTATTGAGCTCTACAATCTGATCTTCAAAACCCTGTTGAGTATTTTCAAGAGCCTCTATATCCAATTGTTTATTTTCTAATTGATCCTGGAGTTCTTTTACTTGTTGCTCTAATTGTTCTTTTATTAAATTACTGTCCACAGCATCCTCCAGCTTTTCACTCCTGTCCAAGAGTTCTTTATTCTGGTTATTGAGCTCTACAATTTGATCTTCAAAATCCTTTTGAATATTTTCAAGAGCCTCCAGATCCAATTTTTTATTATCTAATTGATCCTGGAGTTCTTTTACTTGTTGTTCTAATTGTTCTATTATTAAATTACTGTCCACAGCATCCTCCAGATTACTTGCGAGATCATTGCATCTCTTCTGCAATTCTTGCATCTCATTCTGATGTCTCTCTTGCAGCTGTGACTTAATCATAACAATTTGTTGCCCATATGTCTCATCTAGTTCAGCATGTAGTGCAGCCACTTGTTCACTGATGTCTGCTGGGGACCCTGTAATTGCTTTCTCAGCCCGCTGTAACCGCTTGTTCAAGTCTGAGACTTCCTCATCAGATCTTTGTTTGATGTGGTCTCTTTCTTCTTTGACCTCAGCTAACTCTTCATTTTTCTTTGCATATTTATTAGCTAGATCCTGTAATAGGGTTTCTTTCTGGCTGACAGTCTCTTGCAACGAGATTACCTGCATTTGGGCTTCAGACATGTCATGGGCAGAAGCACTTTGTTCCCCATTCTGAACTTTAATAGTTTCTCCTACCTGTAGAGGAAATAATCATTATGGTAGATTAATAATTTAGACTACTGCTGCACTATTCCATAAACTTCACTTGATGTATGTGTGTTCAACATTCATTATTTTTTTTAAATATATAGTTTTTTCTTCTACACAACAGTAAAATTAGTGTACATGGTGAAAATATAATAATTAATTTTCACCATCATAATCATTAATTAAAAGTCTATACAAATAAAACAATAATTACCATTCACCACTTATTTGGAGATTCAACAATTTTGAAAAAATTCATTTCATTTTCTATTTTATTTTTCATTGCAGTGGATGCACTAATTTGCAAAAAAAAATTTGTTTGTTTTTGTTTAAATCATCATTATCGGCGGGCAGCACGTTCACTTAGCAAGGTATAAAAAATTCTCGCCTTACAATTATACATAAGCCCATACATTCATATTAAAATAGAAAACTATATTCAACAGCTCATTAAAAAGGATGCTTTTCTACAAAAATTGGTTAGCCGCCATTTTAGGGGTCCATGCAAAAGAAAACAAAGATATTATTTAACTGTCTGATTTTATTACACTCTACAGATGGTGCAGGTACTATGTGATTTAATTTAATGTATTACTGTATGTTAATATTTAACTTGTTGGAATCTGTCCTGTAAGTGTATAATATTGATTAGAAATGTACTAATTATAATTATTACTGAACCTTGGAGCTTTGTAGGAAGTGCAATCTTTTATTAATTCTATTTAATACAACAGATTAAATAAAATATTTTTACATTTTGGAGCTGCTGCTGGAGAGCACGTATTTGACTGGACAGCTGACCGGCCTCAGCTTGCAGACTATCACGGCTTTGAATAGTGGATTGCAGGTTGACCGACAGTTGCTGGATTATTTCATCTCTTTGTGCAATAGCTTGCTGAAATTCATAAATCTATTTATAAAAAGACACAGTAAAGGTTGAATTAATTAGCATTGAAAACATGTGATATGATGGTAAAGAATTATGAACTTTCAATCAAAAAACAAACAAAAAAAAACCGCCTGAGGCTGGATATTCAGTTTCAATAGGCAAAAGAATTTATGCAGGTTTCTCTTTCTCCACCTATGAGTATAAGTAGGCATCAGGCAGGCTTTAAGTGCCTATGAGATAGTTACTAGCTCCACCATTATAGAATACTCTCCAGAGAGCTAAAGTATTGTTCCTTAACTTGTTTTATTCAAAGGCTGGGCTAACAATGTGAATTGTATCAAGACAATACTGTGTGTAATCATATTAAAGATTTATTATAAAGCCAGGGAAGAAACTTTACCATCGAGTGTGCAGTGCCATTGCATGAGGGACATAATTTTTCAAGCTGAACAATAAGAATTTGTTCAGCAATAAATATACAAAGGTAACTCCTGGTTATACCATGTCACTCAGTAGTTTGAGCATACACATTACAGTAATTGTGTTAGTATATTTGTTTGGAATGAGGAAATGAACAAAAATGACTACCTTTGAATTATACTGTTCAATAACAGCTTTATATTCAGCTTCCTTTTGACTGGAAAATTCTTCTTCAACCTAATAATAACAAACATGGAAATCAATTTACAACAAAGATTATCAACGTGTATGTTCATCCATTTTTAAATATGTGAAAAACGAGAAGAGAAAATAAATGATGCATGTGTGTTGCCAAAACGGTTTACTGAGAGACAACTGTTTACACAATAAAGTTTTGTGTGACATCAATATCTGTGATTTGATCATGCATGGCCAGGCATCATAACGCCATGTCACACACATTCATAATGTTGACATGTGTGGACATAACTTAACAGAATCAATGCTTTCCATCTTGTACATAAGATTATTTGAGACAGGATTATATTCTTAAACAATGAATAAATCTAAGGATCAGTGTATTACAGGAAATTAAGAGCAAAAGATGTTTCCATTTTTAATGGATATATGCGCTCCAGATCAGTTTATCTGGAGGTCTTTTCAACATAACATGAAGGTATGCAGATTACAGCAGCAAAGGTCTCATTGGTTGGAAATATAATTGGTATGTGCCGAATTACACGCACGACTTGAAATACTCTCCCAGCAAGCAAAACGTAAGACTGCATAATGTGTAGGAACTGTATTGTATTCTATGACCATTAGCAACATAAAGGAAATAGAGACAGCATAATGTACTATTATATTGGATTGTATTGCTAACAATTTATTCAGAACTTTGCATGCTTTGTGTCATCAAGCCTGCCATTATTACTTTAAACCAAACAATACCTAAGACCCAATATAGCTTAAAACGTTCAATCATGGCCTCTCTCTCTCTTTATTCAGAGTAACGTTCATTCTATGTTACCTAAGAATATCATGTGCTTTTTAAAAATTGTTATTTTATTTAAAAAAGGGTTCTTTCCACCTTACGAACACTGGAAACCTGTAACAGAATGTATTCAACATTTCAACTAGATTTTATGACTTACCATGCCTTTTGAGTTTTGCTTAAACTCAGTGACTTCCATCTGGAGCTGTTGAACCAATGATTCCTTGCCAAGAAGGGTTTCCTCAAGCTGCAGAATGCGCCCTTTAGCCTCCCCCAACTCAGCTTTAGCCACCTCATATTCCACTTGCAGTTGGTCTGCTTCCTGTGTAAACATATCAGGTTAACATTTTATTGTCATGCAAAATACAATACCTTGTCAAGTCAACACAGCAGTATTACTCTTGGGAACATGGCATACAACATTAATGGCAAAAAATTTGAAGCAAGTACGTTTTATAAAATATACATAGGTTTCATGACGAATTGAGTTGTGTTATGTGCCAGGTTTAATTTGCTTTTCAAGAAATTAGGTAATGACCAAACTAATATATTTAGGAACTCTTTTGTAAGGCTGTTTTTCATAATTGATGATAAAATCCAACAAGTTGTATCTTTTATTGAAAAAAAAAAACAAAAAAAAAAAAACAAACTAGTCTCAAGTATGTTTCTTGCATCTGAAATTCAAACTGATCATGAACTCTAACCCAATACTGTGATCATAAACCTATGATACTCTATGGTACTACAGTACAATGCTGCAAACTCATTCCAATTAAATAAAGTACATGCATATGTTTATTCCAAATATACTTACTGTACATCCATTACATCAAATATGCATACTGCAAGGTTTTTAGTCAGATGAATATGGAATTGGAAATTCTAATATAGGATAAATAACATGGATAACACTGGTAAAGTCAAAGCAATTCACTTACATCCAAAGACAAATCATCTGTGCTAATGGACCTTTGATCACTCTAAAAAAAAATCAAGAAATTATGAATTATATCTGGTTACTATTCAAATGTTTATTAATATAATAATTATTTTAAATACATGCATTGTGTTTTAATATATCAAAAAATCAAATATTTTTTAACCAAAATTTACTTTCACTAAAGTATTTTTTTAATAAATTTTTAAAAATGTAATGTAATGAATTTATCAATTACACCTATTGTAAATTTTAATTTTAAACTGGCAAATATATGATTATGCTTAACACCTTGAAAAGATTTAAAATTTAAAAAAATAAATAAAATTCACATATTCCGACTGGCTATATATAATAACTATTATTCCCACGGTATTCAACCCCCGGCCTGCGGGCCAACTCCTTTTGATCTGGCCCACGCAACAATGCTAAAAACAAATCATTTTAGAGATTTACTTGATTTTTTATAGAAAAAATTCTTTTTGAAATTATACGGTCTTTATTAATAATTAATTTCAAGCTTTTATTGGTGGATTTTTTTTTTCTTTTTTTAAATTTTTAAACAACAAACTAAACAAAGAAATGCACATTTGTTGAAAATTAAACCAAAGTCAACTATAAATCCTTGCATACCTTCATAAAATTCGCCTGTTAATCATTCATGACATGTAGAGCTTATAGAAACTGGTATGAATATTTTAATACCACTAATTTGTTCAAGAGAAGCATTAAACAGTAATTATAACAATTTTTAATTAATTATTTTAATTTATTTATTTATTATTTATTTTATTTTATTTATTTTATTTTTCTTAATTATGAAAATTAAAAAAAAAACATATTAATTAATAAAAATAACTATTATTTATCACATGGAAAATAATGCAAAAAAGTATCATTCTATGATCTATCCACGTTCTATTACATTTTTGCCGTTAAGTGTATTAAACAATCCAAAGCCACAAAAGGATATCAATGATAAAGCGCTAACCACTAAAACTGATTCTTAATAATTCAATTACTATACAGTGTTGTTGCAGATTCCTTCATTTTATCATGTCCTTTCTTTAGTAGAGGAAGTGATGAACTAAAGGTCAAATTATCATGTTTTCAACATACATTAGAAAATATGTTTAAAGAAATGGTGATACAGCAGTATTCAATATTATTAAACAAAAATAATCTGAAATTTAAATATTTTGATTAACAACTTGCAGATTGTACAATATGTGAAACTCATGGAAAATAAATAAATAAATCTCCAACATTTATGTAATTTGCTAGAAACTATCTGCAGTAACGAAAATGTACGAGCTGTTGATATAATTGCACATTTTCATTTGTACAAGTCCAATAAATTGAGGATGTTTACATTTTTAAAAAGCATACTGTAATTCATTAATGCAGACTTACATACTGAAATACAGGGTTTGAATTTCCTCAAAATGCTCCCTCAGCATATAGCTGGGATATGGCTTTACTACAGCAAGTTAATCTTCTTCTACAGCAATAATCAACACTTTTTATTGGTTTTAATTATAATTTTTATGGATGCCTAGGCCTGGGTTAGGCAACCTGGTTTAGGCAACTCAACAGCAAAAAGTTTGCTTGTAGAGCCTGGGATTTATCACAGCAGTGGAAGGCCCTTTTTACAGCAACTGCTGTTGGGAAATACGAACCCTGAAATTGTGACGTGGCATTTGAATACTTTCTCTATTTTATAGACATTAAGGGGCTGGATTTACTGCAATATGTCTAGTGTATACTCCCATAGGGCTCTGACAATCTTGCTGTACATTAAGAGACATCCAATGACAACGGCAGAATCATGCCTTGCTTCATTGGACACTTTATTTTTATTTTGCATGGGAACACACACTAACACATAAAACAATAACATGTTTATTTAAAATTGATGTGGTATCACAAATTGCAGACATATTATTCTCTTTGGCATATAGTAATCAGAGGGATGAATGAAAGTCACTAATGTTTTAAAGGGTTAGAGGAAAGAATATCATTTCATTAAATAAGCAGGTGAAGAAATCAATCATGGGAGGGAATCATTCAGTAATCCTTAAAGTTATCTAACTATGGTGTTCGTGTCAAGGCCTGGAGTGGTTTAGAGATTACCTCACTGGCCGAATGCAGTACGTCCAATATAATGGGGTTGAATCACGGCGTAAATGTGTTATTTGTGGAGTCCCGCAGGGATCCCTGTTCGGTCCCCTTCTTTTTCTTGTTTTCATTAATGATTTTGTTCGCTCTTCTGATGTATTATCATTTATTTTATTTTCCGACGATTCTAACCTTATTTTTTCTCATAAGAATACAACTGAACTAATCAGAAATTAGTAAATACTGAACTCGGTAATATCATGGACTGGACCCATGCCAATTGCTTATCTCTCAACGTTTTTAAAAACCAGCTTCATGTTTTTCAGTAACATTTTGAAAGATCCACCTGCCCCAATAACACTAAATGAAGTAATTACAAGAGTGGAATCCACAAAATTTCTTGGCAATATATATTGATCAGAGATTGGCATGGGATGTCCATATTCACAATATTCGCAATATCATAGCTAGAAATGAAGGTGTAATTTCTAAAGTTAAAGAGTTAGTCCCTACAAATATATTAAAATTATTATATTACTCATTGATTTTTCCTTATTTATCTTATGGAGTCATTGTCTGGGGATGTGCCTCTGATGTCTACATCAATAAAATCTTACTTCTACAGAAAAGGGCCATTAGAATTATCTCAAATGAAAGAAGGCTTTCTCATACTCCTCCTTTGTTTTTAAAACACAATATCCTTAGAATTAAAGAATTATATGATTTCTGTGTTGGGATATTTATGTTTCAAGCTAAATCTGAATATCTCCCATCTAATATTGCCGATATTTTTACTTTTAATAATCAAATCCACTCATATGAAACTCAACAATCTGAATCCTTTCATGTCCCAAAGTTTCGACTTAAAACAAAGATCAATACCATCTTCTTTTATGGTCCAAAATTCTGGTTGAAGTTTACCTACTTGCATTAGAAATTTAATTCCTATATCCATGTTTAAGCATCACAATCTTTAATACTCAAATACAAAAACCTATAGGCCTAGCCTATCTTTCTCTTGACTTCCGGGGAGGGATCGACGTTTCGCCTCCTTCATGGTGTCATCCTCAAGATCATTACTTTTTTATTATTATTCTTAATATTTTTATGATGAAGATATTATTGTTATCTTAAGTTTTGTAATTAAGTTAGTTTCCGGAATCACTTTACAGGCTTGCCTCCTTGATTTCGGCAATTGTTGTTTTTCAGGGAGAGAACGGCTGAAATTAAAATTGATAGAAGGAAATGTATTTTTGATGGGTTGGTTCTTCATGTGACTGTCTTTTATCATTCAAAGTTATCATGGGAGCATCTATTGTTTTTTCCTACTGTAACTATCAGTAAAAAAAATATGGTACAGTTAAACTTGTCTAAGTCAACTGTGCCTAAGTCGAATAATTTCTAAGTTGATCTTAGTTTACATGCCAAACTGCTATGTTTTCCATTGATTAACAATCTGTAAGTCAAATTTTATCTTAGTCGAACAATATTTCAATGGCATTTTGGATTTGACTTAGGCAAGTTCAACTGTAGTTAAGAGATGAATTAGTTATCATACCTCTATGCTCATGGTGTCAGAGACAACGGATAAGTCAGTACCTGTCTCTTATACACATCTAGATGTGTATAAGAGACAGGGCATGGGCTGTCCATATATGATTCTATCTCTTTTGGTGGTAGACCAGGTACAGTAGCAGGATGGAGTGTTGGTGGATTTGTAGGGCATGGATATACTTCTGATATGCCATGTAGTAGTATATATTGTAGGATAGTGAAACTGAAGTTAAAGGCTGGGGGTCAAGCTAGCACCACCCGCTAATCAATACCTCAAATTTTTCTGAAATCATCACAACCAATCCATGGAACTAAATGTACAATATTGATATCCTTCCAAAATTCTGTAGCGCATTAAGAAAGCAGGTTGAAGTTTAAGGTTAGTGTCAAGCCGGCTCCACCAAACAACGTGCTTCAGATTTATGTAAAATCATTGGAACAATATTCACGGCCTTAATGTATCCCCACCCCCACTAGAAATACATACATGGTTCTTGTCAGCACTTATCAAAAAATTGGTGAAGGGATTTTTGTCAACTTTCATCACAGTATTTTTCACAGAATTCAATGACGCACAGAGAAAAAGCGCCCATTTTAGAAAGGTCGCGTTATCTATTTAACATATAGATGCATGGCGGTCCAAGGCAATCATACATATTCTAAAATCGATTAAACATGTTGTGGCATACACAATGATTTGAGTGCGTTTCACCGTGAGGTGAGTCGGATTTTCATGAGATTATAACAAAAGTGAAAAAAATAATCAGCTGTACCATACTCGCGCGAATAAGCGCCCCTCTCGAATAACCGCCACTCTCGAATAACCGCCCCTCCTAACGTGAAAATTTCCTTAAGCGCCCCGTTTGAATAAGCGCCCCTTCATAAGATTTTCTTTTTAGCAAGTCAATAGTCCAATCAATCCTGGGACTGTGGTTGTTGGCATGATTTGAGCTGTAGAGTGGAAACACTCTTCTTCAGTCAATATCAAAATAAGGATATTTCTCTTGGACAGATGAGAGCTCCGATCCCTGGACAGACAGTATATTTCCAAAATTTAATCTTTTTACATATTTGTCTACGTCTAGTCCTACTCCTCTTTTTCTTTTTTCGACCTTAAAGCACATTCTCATCTGAGTTTTCAGAAAAATACAATGCAATGATCCTGCCATCCTGCTAATCTCAATCGGCCGATGGCCAACAAGCTAACCACTACCCACCACCATTTGCATCTGCTATTTTGCTGTTATGTAAATATTCACGCATTCTTGTTATGAATCATGTTCTCGGGACGATTATGTTTTCTAACCACCATTCGTAATGTCCTTATATAATCTTTTTTTCATTCAAAAAGTGCCTCTTGAATTTTTAATTATTAAAATAAATTCCCATAAGAACCATTCATTTTCATCTATTTCCATAAGCGCCCCCTCAATTTCCACTCTGTTTTCATAAGTGCCCCGTTTAAATAAGCACTCCGTTTGAATAAGCGCCCCTCAGAAAGTGCAAAAAAATATTTTAAGCGCCCGGGTGCTTATTCGCGCAAGTACGGTATTTTGTACTATTTACCTCAGTATTTTTCTTTTTAGACACAAATATGAAAGATTAATATTTTTTGTTGTTGTATGTATTTCCAGCAGCCTTACCTACCAAGAGGCCAATTAACCACATTAAAAAAAGAAGAAACAGATGAGAAATACTTTTGATTTAGGAACCCTGAGCTAAGTCACGACACTTGCATGGTTGGCTGATACTTGAAAATCACTCTAGGCTAGGGGCCCTTGGTCAAGAGTCCCACTCAATCTGGCAGTCACACACATTGTTATGAAAGTGACCGCCTACTTCCATCCACACACAAAGGAATTTAAAACATTGAGAAAAAGTGTAAGCCTAGCTAGGCCTAGCAATCAACAACAGTTATTCTACATTTAATTAATCTCGAGTGTATCATACAGGACAGTATGATCGGCTTCGACAACAATTATTACAATATAAATAAATCCACAAATCTGTGTCGGAAGCAATGGTGCCGCCTGAGCTAGGCCTACACACAGACAGAGTGCCAAACCCAAAGAAAGCCAGCCAAGGAATTCCCTTCTTCTTTCTTGCTTCTCTGTTGAAATGGGTCTCTAAAAATGGCAAACTACAGTATTGTTTGGTGCTAAGAACAGATAAATTACCTTTGCACGCCCAGCTTGCAGCTTCCTTTTCCTCTCGTCCTCATCCATGTTTAGTGGTTTGCTTTACAAAGTTATAAAATTACTCCATTTATTAATTTCTTTCAACCTTTTTCTATGATTCGACGACGTGGAGCAGTCACAGAAAAAACATTAGAAATGGTAAATCATGGCTGCCAAATTCATACAGGGGGCGGTATTGACGAATTAAGGATGAAGGATTTAAAAATGTGTTACCAGCAATGATCGAATCCGTTAGCATGTTTTCAAGACAACAGTGGCACGGTGCGTCAAAAAAAAACAAAAAAACAAACAAACAAACAAAAACAAAACAAAACAAAGCCAAGAAAATAAATATTTAACACATTAAGCAAATAAAACAAAAACAAAACAAATAAAACAAAAACATGACAGAGAAAACTATGTTTAAACATGGAGGTATAAACTAATTTTATACCTCCATGGTTTAAACAAAAACTCCCTACGTTCAACTTTCAACGGTACCCAAAGCCCACTCTATTTTTTAAAAATTCAACATTGGCACTAATGGAGAAAATGAAAAATCAAACAAATACAGATTAAGCAAAAGCTGCCAAAGCTTGTCACCCCACCAATATCAACGCAGCAGTGGAGCTCTGAACCCCTTCATTGTAACCACCCTCCACCCCAACCTAGCTAAACATTCACATACTGAATTCAAAATAAATAGAAAATAACAATTTAATCTAAATTGCAACAAAAAATGTAAAGAAAGAGTTCAAGTCAAACCAGACTGTAGAAATTTGCTGTTCTATAGAAATATTTTGTGCTCGACTTATGTACGATTTCGAACGCAATGAGCAATAAGGCTATTATTTACATTGATTTTCAGGAAAAAGTGTTCTGAAAAACTCAACATTAGTCAAAGTGTATTGTAACTTTATACAAAAATCACTTGGAATAAAATTGATCCGGACATTCATACACCGCATTGAAATTAAACGATTTTGCTATTTATTTAATTCATCAATTCTAATGTTTTCTCATTTTTTACAGACAAAAAGAAAATTGTTCAAGTTCAATTCATTTTATTGGTCATATACAGTGAGTAGGCCTACATACATTACATTTGCGGTAATGCTTCGGTGTAATGCGAGGATAAAAATAGGTTATATGTAAAATATGCCTATTATTGTGAATTTATTCCAAACTCAAAAAAGTTTTCAGTAATAAGTATAAAGAAAAAGTAAACTTCACACCATTACTGGTACGTATACAGGGGGAGGGAGCCGTTGGAGCCGTAACCCCCCCCCCACCCCTCTTGTACACAGTGTTAAAATTTTAAAGCTTGTTCTTGCTAGCCAATAAAAATTCTTTCCAGAGATCACTGAACATAAATACTTCTAATCTATGTAAATATGCATTAGCACACGTTATACATAGGCCTACTATAATAACACATGCCTAAGCGTGATTTAAAAAAAAACTTAAATCCATCGGCCTATGTCTCATGCCAAGTCTTTTAGATAAAAAATGTGATATTGTATGGTTCACTTTGGTTTTTATCCTTTTGTAAGCTCTATCAAGTTTTGTTTTAATACTACAACACTACTAGTAATAATAATAATAATAATAATAATAATAATAATAATAATAATAATAATAATAATAATAATAATAATAATGATGACGATGGTGATAATATTTAATAATATTAGTAATATTAAAAAGTGAAGAAAATTGTGCTAAAGGCGAAAAAAAATAAGTTGTGATTTGTTGATCACAATCATAGTATAGTTAAAGCTTAGTAAGCTACAGTTAGGCCTATAGGTTGTCTTGGATATTAAGTATATCCCTGATAAAAGATCATGAGAAATTTGTTAGCGCTTCATTTTGAATGATGATGATGCGATAATGATGAATTTTACTATATAAAAATGTCATTTCCGGCCATCTTATTATTTCCTCAAATTTCGCACCTCAGCCCCAACCATGGTGGGGCTGAGGTAGTTGTGAATTCACGGCTTTGAAATACGTAAAGTACATAAAACAATGTTTAAGCTTTATTTTCTATGGTACATCACACATATTAATAAGATCTCTATGGTTGCCGAAAATCCCTGATAAAAGATCACGAGAAATTTGTTGGCGCTTCATTTTGAGTATATATAGGCCTAATAATGGTGATGTGATGATGATGAATTTTACTAAAAATGTCATTTTCTGGTCATCTAGAGGTACTCTATTTCCTCAAATTTTCGCACCCCAGGCCCAACAATAGTGGGTCTGAGGTGGGTGTCGACTCACGAAATGTTCCCCTCCCACCTCCACCTTTCAAAACAGATTGCGCCCTTCCTGGGTATGACATTTAAACTCCATCGAGTTGACACCTGACTCAGAGTATGTCTTAGTGACTGCTGATGAGGCGAGTGCATAAATTTGTTTTTAGGATGCGATCCGGTTTTACATGCCCATTTTTGTGTTTATGAATATTTTGGATAAAGAATGAGCAGTGTTGGATCTCCCCTCCATGGGTCTATTGAATTCCTGGATCCACCACTGTTGAGTTTTATATAAATTGTTAGGCTTACTAATATTATTTATGATGCGTTTATTGAAATTTTCACGTTATCATTTCAGAATTTACAACTTTCAAAGCGCGCCACTTTCCAGAGGGCTTCGCCCCTGGACAACCCCCCACCCACGTGGTCCTACGTACCTTGCATAACGCCCCCCCCCCATTCAAAATCCTGGCTACGTCCCTGCACCACTAATAGACCTACTTTTGTTTGCGTTCCGATTAGTACCGTATTATTCTAATACTACATGACAGTATATGCTGTTTATAAAGACATTATCATAGAGTTTTATTGATATAATCATATTAATACCAGGCTTAGCTTATTTCATGGAACTCCATGGACAAAACAGGAAAACAAAGAAATAAGAGCAGCAAGTACAATCAAACTCTAATGAGATAAAACAATTTAAAAATTCAATCCTATAATTTAATTGTTTAATTTGTATATTAAAATACGGTATTAACTTACAAATAAAATAAAAATGTTCATGTGAAAAAACAATTTATTAAACAATACATTTGGTGTATAATTCTTTTGCAAAATTGACTGGTAATCATTTTAAACTTTTTTTTTTTTGTAGAAAAACATCTGGAAGTTAATTTTGGTTCTTTCTACTGTAATTATAAATTATAAAGTGATGATGTTTTATAGACCATTGTTTGCCCTATGTCTATATCCTTACACACTACCAAAATATTCTTTGGTAAGAAAACTAGAGGTTAGACAGAAAAATAGTGAATTCAGAAAGTAAAAAAAAGATCTTTGGAAAAATCTGGGAAAATTTCTACAGTGAGGGCGACAAACAATATTCAATGGTTCTCGCCCAAGTGTTGTAGTTCGGACAGTTGAATCAAAGATCGTATATCTATCGGCGCTATACGATCTTTGGTTGAATCATTAAAATGTCTTCATCATCGAACTGACATTCTGGAGGAAGTGGGTAGCCTATGAACCGGGATTAGGGCCAGTATTTTAAGTTTTTTTTGTTACATGAAGTATACGTAAAATGAGGCGTAGTGGAGGACTTGGTGCTATTAATAAAAAGAAACTTGCACAGGTCAGTTGACGTATTACAGAGGAGACCTAGGGCTTAGGCTTGTAGAGACGGCGCCTAGGCTTAGGCTACTAGTTGATGAGTGTGTACCTACCCGGCGTTAATCAATTCGTTCCCACGTCTATTCGTCCCACTTTGGCGAAGTCGTACCCAAACTTCGTGGCTTATCTACCAAAAAACAAGCTTGTTCCACCTCTTCAAATGCACTACAGTACTACTGTCCATAGTATCCTCAGTGTATAGGTTGCTTGTTTGGACGTGCCGACGATCATTAATATAAATTCCAATATTTTTTTAAATCAAATTTACATACTTAAAGGCCAAGAGAGCAGCTTAGCTCAGTCGGCTAATCAGGTGCGCTGAACCGTGGAGATCTCTAGACCCCCGGTGCAATTCCAATCGCTGCCTCTTCTTGTGTTTCAGCTAGATGGCTGAAATACAAGTTACAATAGCGCACTGGCACTGTCAGTGTCTTTCGGATGAGACATTTAAGTCGTTGGTCCTGTGTGCATTATTATGGCCCATGTGCATGTTAACAAATGCAGTACACTCTTCGGAAAAGAGTAGGGATTGTCTCTCGGTGTACTGAACCAATCACCACCAGAAGGACCCCACTGGAAATAAGTCTTCTAGACTTTCGTCGGCTATCCTTGGTGTTTACACCGAATAAATCCAATCCAATCCCCTATTAAATTACTAAAAGTAGTAGTAGCCTATCTGATGAATATCAAAATAGATTTTTTTTTGTAGCAACTTTTTTATAGCAACTTAGGCCTATATATGTTTCATAATAACTTTTTTTTAAAAACCAATAATAATCATTACAATGTGGTTTAATTTTCAGGCAAAATACAAGAGTAAAGGAAATGAAATTGCAGAGGATCAATTGACTCAAATGTCGAAGCAGTTGGAAGTGTTCAGGAACAATCTGGAGGAATTTGCTGCCAACCACAAGAATGAAATTCGGAAGAATCCTGCATTTCGGACACAGTTCCAGGAGATGTGTGCCAGTATTGGCGTAGATCCATTAGCTTGTAAGAAATACATGCGCTTACAAAATCAAGCCTTTTAATTGTTGGCAGATGCAGCCCTTCCTTTCAATTTTCCCCTTTAACTTTGCACCAATACAGTATTAACACAAGAACAGTTTATGTGGAACTTGTGTAGGCAGTTTGTCTTCCAGAAACTACAGGAGTCTTTCTTAATCTCGTTCATTTCTAGAACTATAATTTATAAAACGAAAAGGTCCACTGATTAATCTCAGATAAGATAGTACAATACATACTCCAAGTATCAAAATTCACACCATCGTGTCGGGATTAAATATTTCGACATTAATTACGTCCTGATGACATAATTAATGTTGAAATATTGAATCCCGACACGATGGCGTGCATTTCGATACTTGAAATAATTTATAAATTTCCAAGATACTGTTATTCTGTCCTATTCAACCTTCAATGAATATTTATCACATTCATTCTATTTCATTTTAATAAATACTGTATTCACAATGTTTTAGGCTCTTTGTTTCTTTTTATACCCTTTAGAATCCTACATAGCATCAATAACACATGTCTACAAATCATGCTTCATTTGTTGGCTTCCTACACGTTATTCAACATCTTGATCCAGATAGGTGGTATCTGTATGGGTACGATCCCTACAGTGTGTTCATTGCAATCATTGTATTGTGTGGAAGTCCCCAATGCAATCGGGAAGGCTTCCCGATTCGACAGACCAATTAGCATCACCGAAAGTTGTTGGAATTAGCGTGTAGCAATTGTATACAAACCAAGCTTAACAGATCGTCACATAAGACAGCCAGTAGCCACAATTAAAGTTATTGAAATCATCATTATTACCATTACTACAGTAATAATATCATTATTATTACTACTATTGTTATTACGATTATAATATTATTATTGTTGTCAATGAATTATTGTAATTTTACTGCAATTCTTCATGACAATTAATTTGTAATCTTGTTTTTAGCTGGTAAAGGTTTTTGGTCTGAAATGCTGGGAGTAGGAGATTTCTATTATGAAATTGGAGTTCAAATTATTGAAGTGTGCATGTCGACACAGCACCGCAATGGAGGGCTGATGACCTTAGATGAATTACTACGAAAAGTGAAGGCGACAAGAGGGAAAACAAAACAAGCACAAGATGTTAGTTTGTAAGTATTTTCTATATACTGGTAATAGGCGGTTGTCCTACAATGGAAGTAATTATTTCAAAATTTAGCTTTTAGAAAAATGAATGGGAGAAATTCACTGATCAACTGAATGATCAACCCTCAGAAATTGTTTCTATGACCTTTTGAATAGGCTTACTGTACAGGGGGATGTGAATATCATACCTCCTTCCCATGTTACTTGAAAGAAAGAAATTATTTTCTTATAGTGTATTAAGATAAAATGGTTATAGTTATATAAATAAACTTTATTTTGCAGAGACGATTTAATGCGTGCAATTAAAAAGTTGAAGATACTTGGAAATGGTTTTGCACTTCATCGGCTACATGATGGGCGTTTCCTAGTACAGTCTGTTCCAGCTGAACTCAACATGGATCACACATCAGTCCTAGATAATGCACAGGTAGTGTTTTACTATGAGACTGCTCTTTAAAATTACTATAAGCCATTGTAAGAGATATTATTTAATTTGTTTTTTTTTTTACATTTTAGCCAAAAACATGCAAATTCTTTTTGGAAAGTAAAAGCATAAATTTCAGTTTTGAAATACTTAAGCTATAAAAAATGTTGGGGTTGTCAAGTGCATAATAGTTTTTTAATTGAACAAATTAAAGTTAAAATAAACGCATTTATATTATTTCATATGATAACAAGTTGTTTTTAGCTAGGGTTGTCAAGTGCATTATAGTTTTTTAATTGAACAAATTTGAGTTAAAATAAACACATTTATATTATTTTATATGATAACAAGTTGTTTTTAGCTTGACTAGTACAATTTGACAAATGTGTTCTATCTTGAAAAAATGAGCATGCTTCTTTTAAATAAGTAGGCATTTGTATAGCTTAGGTATATCTGTCTGACGATAATTATAATACAGTATAGTTGCTTTTGTTCTTACTTTTTTGTGTTAGCGCTGTGGTTATACATCAGTGAGGATGCTTAACTCTGAATTGAAGTGGGAAGTAGAAAGAGCTTGTCTTGTGTTGGTAAGTAAAACATCTGACCATATGAGGCATGTTGTGGCAAAATGGCTAAGTTTTAGCAAAAATTGAAATTCAAGTTATTGGTATTTTTAGATATACTGTACGAGTATGTAATCTTTAAAATGAGGGGGGGGGGGGGGGGGGTCATTCATTGAAATTGGACATTTCAAGCCTTTAGTTATTGAGAAGTGAAAGTACAGCACTCTAAAGCTGGCCACTCACTGCATCGTTATTTTGAGTAATTGCCTTCCAAAGTTATAGGTGCATAGATTGTTTAATAGAAATAACTACTAAAATAACATTAAATAAACGATTTGTTGACCATTTCCAGAACTCAGACTTTGGGACATGATTAATTAGATACTAAACAGTTTCATTTCATTTCCTTTAATGCGCCATAATATATAAAAATAATTGTCGTCATGTGGCAGATAATAAACAGTTAATATATAGTTAAAGAAAAAATTAGATTTTTAGGCCATTTTTAGTTCCTATGCATGTAATGCAATAGGAACTATTGTAATCACTCTTGCTATTTCCTATGTTTTTTATTGTGTGTAGTGTGTATGTGTGTGTGTAGACATTTATGCAAATGCGCATGCGTCAAAGAAAAGTTTTCCGACATTTTGTTTTACATCGCGATGCGAAGATCGATGTGAAGTTTCTGCGGAGTTTAGTCAGGGCTCATGCTAACCATGGAGGTATTATAGTGAACTGGAGGGATTACTTGAATTCAGTCCTTTGACGATCATTCCGCCCGCGCTGATAAGAATCCATAAGGAACAGACTATAATCAACTTTATCTATAATCCAATTCAGGAAAATCCGCGCTGGCATTATGTCATAATTACCCATAAGTCATTTCGTTCACGAAGACGATGCTGAGATGCGCATCCATGCGCTAACCGACCGGAATGTCGGCATGGATGAAACTATTTTGGTTTTACGGCAAAAAAATCATCTGCTGTAGGCATAGGTATTTTGAAGAAGGCCTAAAATAAAACTAAAATGTTTTAATACTTGTCTCTTATACACATCTA